GTGGAATTGGAAGCATTTCCGAGAACGCCACCATAGAGGTCCTGGATTTCAGTCTCTTTCCTAGCAGCCTAAATTTGGCCTCCAGGACATCTCTCCTACCCTTCCCTACGTCATTGGTCCCTACATGTACCACGACCACCGGCTGCTCCCCAGCACTACACATAAGTCTATCTAGATGCCTCGAGAGATCCGCAACCTTTGCACCAGGCAGGCAAGTGACCATACGGTTCTCCCGGTCATCACAAACCCAACTATCTATGTTTCTAACGATCGAATCACCCACTACTAACACCTACCTCTTCCTAACTGGCATTCCCTCCCCATCAGAGGTATCCTCAGTGCGAGAGGATACCGCAACATCCTTTGGGAAGAGGGTCCCAACTATGGGATGGTTTCCCTCTGCTCCCATTAAATGCTCGGTTCCCTTGAGACTTTCATCCTCCTTAAGAACACTGGGGCTCTCAGACTGGAGGTGGGACAGTACTACAGTGTCCCGGAAAGTCTCATCAACATAGCTCTCTATGGTATCAGTAGGATGTATACTAGATATGGCCATTAAACATTTCACTAGTGGCCTGTTTAAATCTTGGTCTTCAGGTGTGAAATGCTAATACACTAATTCCCCATGTCAATTTGCTCCTACTTCTTGTCTCCAAACAGAAAACACACATTACATTCCTAAACTGTTTTAATGCTGAATTAAAGGATTTAAGTCCAATATAGTCTTAGTAATATCACACAAACTAAATAGGTACCTAGTATTGCACTCAACCACGCCAGGAATGGAATCATCCCATTAATCCAAAGCAGAATTTTCTGTTGAAAGCATTTTTTTTTAAATTGGGAGCATCCAAAACAAAATTGATTTTTGAAATAAGTTAACACACTGTTTTATATAAAGTACATACACACAGAAACACGTTTTCCCACAGTATTCAGACCCACTCAAGAAAACAATGGTGAGCAATTCCATTTCAAACCACCAAAAAACAGCACACATGAGTTATTTATTTATTTACTCATTTAAAGTAAGAAGAAACAAATGATTACTAATTTAATCTTCCTTTGGGAGCTTCCTTGAAATAAAACCATTTAAATACATCCCAGACAGAACTCAAAATTCTTGCATAAAGACATTTTATTATAAATCCATTGTATATAATGTTTATTTAAAAAATGCTGCAGCACTTAAAACAACCAGATACATATCAAAGTTGAATGATCTCATGTTAGTTTGTAGGGCATGATAGCGGCTGAACTCCCTTCAGCTCCAAGGCCTTGCTGAAGTTAATCTCCTGCGGTTTAGCAGTGCCTTTGGTGAGCTTCAGAGAGCGAATACATCCTTTAAAACGGGTATTTGTGGTCAGGCCAAACTGGTTCAGACCATCTGAAGAAAAAAAATGAACAAAACAAAATCCAAAATATACTGTTACTCATTTTGTGTCTTCAAATCTCTTCTCCCACTTGCATCCCCAATAAATAATAAATGCTCGGTTTAGTGGTAACTATCTAATCGGTATTTTTCTTTCTCCATGATGTGCCACTGGCAAAATCAGAACTCATTTAATTGTCCAATTTAATCATGCAGCTCAGTTCAGGTGATGCTCATGATATTAAATAATACAGTCTTCGAACTTCCAAATGACATTTTTTCTACAATGGTATGCAGCAGGCAAACAGTGTTTCCGGGCATCTGCAACTTGTAGTTTGTTTACACGTGGCATAAAAGGTTTATCATCATGAGTCTGGGATGGGCACATTTATTCACAAGTAGCAAAATTGCCAGGGAGACTTCTGTATCCCCAGACAGCTTTTACTGTGAATTCAGTATGTGCTGCAGGTGCCACAAAACCTTAGCAATGTTGTGGAGAGATTATTTTTGCATTATAGTTTTTGTCTTTGTGCCTGTAAAGGCAAGAGCTTTAGCTACTGTGAGTCCAAGTGTATTGGGCTCAAAGCCATAAAAACATTGAAAATGACCCCAAAAAGCTTTTACCTGCCTACAAGTGTGTCAATTTTAAAAGTCTATCATCTTGGGAACCACAAAAGCTAGAAATGAGTGCTAGTCCCATTGGGAAGCTGGGAATCTTATCTTCTAAACTCTTTAAAATTCCCAACCTTGTTTTTCAAATGTATCTGAGTGCAATAGTGGCTACAGGGAATCAGTTGTGCTTGTTGATTCGAGGCTGCCTAGCCTTAGTGCAAGACAGGATGTCACAGGAACCTTACATCATCAATGGAGGGGTTGGGCACAACACAGCTCTGTTCCACCACAAGCCTTCCTCTACCCCAAAAACTCTTATTCCTCCTTCTCCTTACACTGGGGATGGGGTGGCAGGAGAGACAACTGTTGGTGCAGAAGGCAATGAGAGTTGCCCTCAAAAACTTTCTGCTAGTGGAAAATTACTCTGCCCAAGGGAATTCTCCATTAGCCAATTCCAGATGGTTTAATGACGCATAAAGCAACCTCAGCGGACTGTTGAATCCAGGCCCCATGATTATGGACATTAAATTTGTGACATACGTACGTACACATAGAAAAATGTCCACTGATCTTGGACTGAATCTTGTCTGTTGTGTGCCTCAGGCAAAGATAAATTGACAAAATTCCACATTTGTGAGAAAGACAAAACATTTCTTTGGCAGGCTGATTAAAAAGAGGCAGGTGTGAGAGACTGTTCTGTATTTGGAATGTTAGAGTAAACCCACAGGGAGACGGATTAGTACAGCTGAAAAAGAACCTACTGCAGAAGGCTATACAATGGAAGTTACAGCTATTTGGGCATATCTGCAGAATGAACGATGAATGAAAAGTTAAGACCCTGGTATTCAACATAATGGATGATCCAAATAGGAGAGGCAGACCCCACAGAGAATGAATGAATGACACAGTAGATTGGTGCAGAGATAGTCTACAGAAACTAAGCCACTCCGCACTGGACAGGGAAAGATGGAAGGAAATAGTGAGGGAGACAGTGGACACCAATGGGCGTTGAGCCCATGGTTGATGATGATGATGAGATGGATTAGTCAACTGAAGGAAGAGAGATGGTCAAAGATGTATGATAAATTATTTATCACATTGAGCTACAATTTATTATGAAGCTTTAATTCAGTTCATGGGTATCATTCCAATACAAACGGTGTAGATTTGTTTTAGATAGACTGCTGTGCTACATTTGAATGTATTTCTTTTGGCTAAATGCAGCTCATAACTCATTACACAGTCCACTGGAAACTTGTTCTTCTATAGTACAGTGTAAGGATAGCTGTAAAAACAACTTCTGTTTGCCAGAAGCTGGGAATGGACAACAGGGGAGGGATCACTTGATAATTACCTGTTCTGTTAATTCCTTCTGATGCACCTGGCATTGGCCTCTGTCAGAAGACAGGATACTGGGCTAGACAGACCTTTGGTCTGATCCAACATAGACGTTCTTACAAAAAAATACCACACAGGCAACACCTTTATGGCACAACACTCACTCCTGATTAGACCAGTTAGCAGAGCCCAGCTTTTGCTTACATATCAAACAATACAGGGTAACGCAGCAGACCATGTTAGAAGTGACTGAAAGTAAATGTTACTGGATACACTATATTACATCAAATGGAATGGAGAAAAAATGCCAAGAAAATAGTTCAGAGCTCAGGTCAGTGCTCACTGACATCAATGGGAGACCTTCCATTGACTTCAATGGGCACTGGATTAGTCACTCTTAACTGATGTTTAGCTTCTCCCTTAACAAATAAGCACTTGGAATGCTACAAAATTAGTAAAAAAAATAATTACTATGAGCAGGGCTCGACAAACCGCTGTTTCTATTCACCCGTGGCGAGTAGATTTCAGCCGGTCGCTCCGTGCGCCCCATTCACCGGTGCTGCATGCATGCGCAGTGCCGGTTTGGCACATGCGCAGTGCAGGGCTGGCGAGTAGCTCTCGCCACAGTCTGTCGAGCCCTGACTATGAGCATTTTTGCAAATGTCAGAATTGGATTTTCAAAATTAAATTATTCATCAAATAATTGTCTATTGTTTGTGTACAGTTAATTGCGAATATTCACTGTTAGCACGTAAGCAGGCCTCCTGTAGCATTTAGGAGGCCTCTGAATCCTGCTTTCTTCCACCTTGCTAGAAATAACTTTGCCGGTGTTCATAAAAATACTTCCGAAGCCTAATGTTTGTTTTGCCTTTAAAAATAAACTAGATTACACCAAATAACAAATATTTCCAAAACATTGCTGAGGGAGGACAGCCTCATCTTCTACAGATTGTTCCCCATATCTCCTAAAACAAATTTCACAGGCTGAAATCTGTGCTATATGATCAATATAGTCAGCCTACCCCTTTTCCCCCCCAGGAGCAATGTGTGAACATTTTTGGCAGTTCTAGTTTGTCAAACGCTGTTGCTGTTGCCTTGGCTATGAAAAAGTGGTTTTGCTTAAATGTGAAAAGAAAGGAATAGAGTCTTTTTACTCCTCTCTGCTAGTACCAACACTTTACTGGATTGAGGGTTTGTTAAAGGCTCAAGGGGAAAAGAACGACAGGCTTCCTTGGATGAAATATTGGCAGCACGTGATTGAAATTCAGTTCTGCAGAGCTCGTTATTCAAATGAACAAAAATGAAATCTTGATAATTGACATTTATACTGTAAAGAAGATTGGATATTCATAATAATCTCCATGCTATCTCCTTTAATGTTAGAATGTGAAATAGAATTATACGTAACACACTAGCAATGCATCATTACTAGAGAAATGGAATAATGCCCTATTTGTGTATTGGGCACTCACCAGGATATCCTCCAACAAAGACAGGATCATTAGTGTCAGTGGAGCTGGATACCCCATTTGGGCTGCTCCCATCCACCTGATTCCCATCCACAGTCAATTCTAATCGGTGCTTGATCTTCTGTGCAGTAACCTTGTGCCAGTGACCATCACACAAGTTGCCTGGTTTGTCAGGTTCATAAATGGCAGAGAATTTTCCTGCACCATTATCCACATGGAACATCAGCTGGAGAATGTAAGATGGAAGAAGGGGAAAAGGACTAGTTTTCAAATTAATAATAATACAGAACATGGTTGTCATCAAATCTTATCTTCCCAAAAGCTCCATAGAGAGTTAGGATAAAGGATATAATCAAAGTGTCTTATTACATTTCTAAATCAACACAAGCCATCTTAGCTCTATTGTGCTTATTTCTATCACTAGAATTTAGTAACTATGGGTACGTCTACACAGCGGTGCTGTTTCAGTATTACGTCTTTTATTTTGAAATAGCGTTCTGCACATCTTAACAGCAATCCTGTTATTTCAAAATACAGTTGAAACAACGGGCTTGTTATTCCGACATCCCATAAACCTCATTGCACTAGGATTAAAGGATTTATCAGAATAGATAGAGCCTATTTCAAAATTTGGTGATCTCAAAATAAGCTATACAATTTGAGTAGTTCAAATTGCGCAGCATATTTCGAGCTACACGCTACTGTGCTGATGAACCCTATGTTTCCAATTCTGCAATAGTTCTGTGTAGGTTGATTCTTGCACCCATACAGAATCGCCCTGAAGTCAACAGAGCTCACTTGTGTAGATCCATCTGTGCCTATTTCAAAATTTGGTGATCTCAAAATAAGCTATACAATTTGAGTAGTTCAAATTGCGCAGCATATTTCGAGCTACACGCTACTGTGCTGATGAACCCTATGTTTCCAATTCTGCAATAGTTCTGTGTAGGTTGATTCTTGCACCCATACAGAATCGCCCTGAAGTCAACAGAGCTCACTTGTGTAGATCCATCTGTGGAATGTGAAAAGTTGTGGGCATATTTGCCAGCTTTCTACTGTGAAACTATATAAGGACAAAAAAAATATTAGTTTTGTGTTAGTCCTATACAAAATACCATGAGTGTAGCTGAGTGGTTGATTAAACTATGAACCAAAATTGAGTTACACACATAAGGGACTTGATATTAATGACATGACAGACATTATGGCCACAACTTTGCACATTTCTGCTAACAAAGGCCCAGTGCTGTAATTCAGGAAATATAACAGCAGAATAACATGTTATGACTAGGGCTGTCTATTAATCGCAGGAAAGCTGACAGACTTTCTGGGCCCCAAGGGCAAGGTGAAGGGAGGGTCAGCTGTGTGCTTCTGAAAGGAACAGGATCTCAGGTGGAATGGGTGGGGCTAGGAGCAGCCAGCCAGGCCCTCAAAGCCATTTGGAGTATGAGGTGAGGTGCATAAGTGGTGATTTATAGTGTGAGCAGGCCTGATTAATCACAGTTAATTCACATGACTAACTAAAAAAATTATGATTAAAAATAATCACAATTAATTGCCATTCTTATTGCAGTGTCAAACAATGGAATACCAAATTAAATGTATTAAATATTTGGGATGTTTTTCTACATTTCAAATATATTAATTTAAATTTTCAGTACTGAACACCAAGGGTGTGTCTAGACTACATGCCTCCTTCGACGGAGGCATGTAGATTAGCCAGATC